ACATACAAGTCAGAACTGCCACTCGTTCCCGCCTTCCCTTTCCGTACGGTCTTATCGATAAGAATATGAGCCTCTTTCCATCCGATGTGTTATGGTGCCCTGTACCTGGCACCCCATTGCCTAGTAGCCAGTGCTCTGGTAACCTGTCCAGCCATGCCATGACAACGCCCACGTTTCTTACTTAAATAAATCTTTTATTATTCTACAATACTATTCTACGCCTACATTTCTCGTTTAAATAGGTCTAATATTAATACTTTATATTTACGTTTCTTATTCAAATAAATCTTTTATTATCCATTTATATGTAGTAATTTTATCCTTTATATAAGCTTATTTTTATAAAGTTAAATAGAACCCTTCAACTCTAAATTAATCTAATTTTTATATCCTACGCCTTTAAATAGTAATTTATAAATTACTAACTTAAATAGTGTAGGGTTAAATAAGGTTACAAGCCCTAAATTAACACAGTTTTTTTCCTACGCCTTTAGGTAATAACCTATAAATTACTAACTTAATAGCGTAGGAAAAAGAATTTCCTACGCGGTTCGAAATTCTTTAAATAGGGTAGAACGTAGTAGTTAGAATATATTTTCTATTTAAAAAACTACTACCTAATCTTAATAAAAATCTTTAACGAGCTAAAGCTCAGGATAAATTTAGAAGGATAATATATATAAAAGTTAAATTTATTTTAGAAGATATAAATATTAATGAATGTAATAAAGTAAATTCAAAATTAATTAAGGGTTAAATATATTTTAGAAGATATAAGTATTAATTTAAGTAATAAAGTAAAGTTATAGAGTTAATTAAGGATTTAATTTTATATTTAGATCTAAAATCGCTCTAGTCCTTACTTAGCCCATTAATTAGGCTGGGTCTAGAATTATTAAAGTTCTGAAGTTAAATTAGCTATTCTAGTCCCTATCCAACCTGTTAGCTAGGCCGAGTCCGAAACGGCCAAAATACTTTAATTAAATTAGCTATTATAACCCTAACTTAGCCCGTTAGCTGGACTAGGTCCGAAACAATTAAAATTACTAATAATAATTTAATTATTCGCTCGATAGGCTGGTTTAAATTTGTTGAAAGGTATCGATCAACGAGTAGATACGGTACGAAGGTACGGTCAATATGGCTGTGTGGAGCGTTCGAAGTGGAGTAGAATGGTATGTAGAATGTGAGGAATGGTAGTAGATTAGTCGAGATATCGATGAGTGAAAAAATCTACAATGGTTTTCCTTTTCCTCAAGGGAAGCCCTCTTCAAATAGACTTTTTGGATCAACGAGTTATCGAGTGACAAAACCATTTGTACCTTTGGAATCGTTATTTTCTGATCATTCCAATGGTGTTACGTATGTCTTCATATGACTGACGTCGAGGCCGCAATTCAGCTTCGAAGTTCGGACTCTGGAATTTTTCTTCCGGATTTTATCTAGGGTTGATCCCTGTTATTGGCCGGAGGTTTTCTCCGGACCGGAATTTTTCTCCGGTTATATATTTTCTAATTTTATATAAAAATATAAAATACAAAAGTATATTTTTATTATACTTATATAGTATAATATAAACCTGTAAAGCTATTATAAGTCTATAATTATTATATATATATATATTTAGACTAACAAAATTATTAATACTTATAACGTACTCCCTAATATTAAAATTTTTTTTCAAATACTAACTAAACGAATTTAGAATAGGATTAAGGGGGGGCGTAATATATATAACGTTACTACCCCAGCAAACTGTAGGCAATTATTCGTTATACTATTATAAAAATTAAGACCAAGGCTTCCTTTGTAAATTACCTTCCTACGTTGGACAATAGATAGGTTAAAGGGTTTAATTATTACTTCTAAATTTGATTTATTCTCCCTACCTTTCTTAGAATAGGACTTAAACGTTCTAGGAAGTTTAAATCTTCGCTCTTCATTAATAAAAACATCCTTAATAAATACTTTCGCAATAGTTAGTCTTTAATAAATCTAAGAATTTTACTTCATATTATTAAATACGAATGCTCCTAAATATCCCTATTATATAATTTAACTACGAGCGATATTAGGTTATAATAGTTATTAGTACTAAATTTATTCTACTAGCGGCCCGAATATATAACTTAAAGGTAATCTAATTCCGCTTTCCTTATTTCCTCTAATACTTATATAGTTTATTAATAAATTTAATTATTAATATTAATATTATAAATATAGTTTATCCATCAGTATTTAATTTAAGATCTTCCTAAATGCCGTCCGTAGAGTAGTACCTTTCCGAAATATATCTACGGGCTAGTCTTAAGGTAGTAGCCTATCGATAAATTTAATTAATATTATTAGCTTTAAAAATAAAGCTTATTATAAAATCTTTTTAAATACCGTTCGAAGAATGGTATTAAGGTAGTGTAACGGGTCTGCAAGAGTAAGGCACAGCGAGCAGTCGTATAAGGTTGAAATGCTATATTTGACAAAGAGGAAAAGGAAGACTACACTAGAAGGGTATAGTCAAAAGAAGGTTTTATACAGGTCGCTTGGAGCGCACGGGCCAGGCAGTCATACGGGTCTGGCTAACCAGAAGGCTCGCATCTCTATCAATAAAGCAGGCTTCCTATCGATAATACAGGACACGGCTTAGCATTAGCCAAGCTTAACCCCTGGGCTCTAGCTCCATAATAGGTGGTTTGTGGTAGAATTATAAATCCTCAATTTAAATTAATGTTCTTATAAAAGGAAAGACCTAAAGACGTCCTTCCTACGCTTAGTACAAAAGTAGAAATATTAATCCGAAGGCAGTTTACACTTTAATCCCTAATATAATTAAATATATTTTTATACCTATTAAAAACTAAAGAAAAATTATAGAACCGCGGAAAGGTATTAAAATTACGCTCTAATAACCTTTCTATAAATAAAAAATCTACGGGAAAATATTAAAATTACGCCCTAATAACTTTCCTATAGAAAAAAGCATAGAGTAGGAATTTGAATCTATTAGGAAAGTTAAAAATAAATTATAAACTTTTATTTATTATTATCAATTAGAACCAGAAGCTAACTATTGTAAATTTAAACCTATTATTATATAAATCCCATAATTTGTTTTACGGAAAAGTACCTAGGAATACCTAAACAACTTTCCTATAACGGCCTTATAGAATTTAACCCTCTAGCGGGACCCTTAGGTAGCCTTATAGTATATAATTTTTTAATTGAACTTTTTAAACGCTTCAATATACAATCGTATAGGATCTTATAATATATAACTCTTTAATTAAACCTTTTAAATGCCCCTATATACGGTCGTATATGTTACCTATAGTATATAATCCTTTAATTAAACCTTTTAAACGCTTCTATATACGGTCGTATAGGATCCTATAATATATAATCTTCTAGTTGAACCTTTTGAACGCTCCTATATACGGTTGTATACGTTGCCTATAGCGTATAATCTTCTAATTGAACCTTTTAAGCGCCTCTATATACGGTCGAATAGGATTCTATAGCGTATAACCTTCTAATTAAACCTTTTAAACGCCCTTATATAGTATCGTATACGTTACTTTATAGTATATAACCTTTTAATTGAATTTTTTGAGCGCCCTTATATACGGTTGTATACAATACCCTATAGCGTATAACCTTTTAATTAAACCTTATAAGTAACCTTGTAAGCAACTTTATATATAATTAATCCCTCTTGTCTACTTTAGCCGGTCGTTCCTACCTTAGCTAATCGTTCTTATTTTAGCCAGTCGTTCTTACTCTCCCTTTTTATATACCCTACGACCGCTAATTTAGGGAAGGTATAGCCCGATAGTTTGAATTACAATTTTCGAATTTCCGTAAAATTCATTTGTATAAGAAATTTTAAAAATCGATTTATAGCTATTAAATTCAATTCCTCCGTCGTACTTTTATATTAATTTCCCTTAACTAAATTAGCCGCCGCGGCCAATAATAAAATAGTCGATTTAAATACTGGGTAGGTAAGCCACTTTTCCCTAACCAAATTGGCTGCTGCGGCTAATATATAAATAAGGTAAAAGTAGTCAATTTGAGTGCCGGGTAGGTAAACTACCTTCCCCTAACTAAATTGGCCGCCGCGGCTAATAATAAGGTAATCGATTTAAATACTAAGTAAGTAAATTACCTTCCCCTAACCAAATTGGCCGCCGCGGCCAATATATAGATAAGATAATAAATAGTTAATTAAATAAAGAAATTAATAAAGTAGTAAAGTAATATAATAATAAAATAATAAATAAATAAAGTATAAAAATATTAAGTTCGAATGTAAAAAAGAAATTAATAGTTTATAAAATATTTTTATAATCATACGTATTATATTAAGTAGAATAATAGTAAAATAAAGGTATAAAATTGAAAATTTTATTTACCTCATTATAATATATAAAAAAAGAAATATTTATTAATCTTTATTTATTGTTTTGATAACCTTATAGTTTTTTTCTTTTAAAGTTTCAAATATTCTTTTTTATTTTTAACTTTCTTATTTTAAAACCGTTATTTTAAATTTTAAACCCAATAAAGTATATAATGAAACTACCCTATATACTTTTTATAATATTATAATTATAAAGAATCTAAAAATATTTTTATAGAATTTTATTCTTACTACCGGAAGAGGAAAATAATTATTTGTTTTATTTTAACTTGGAAAAAAAAAATTCCCAAGGTAAAACTTTACCCACGCAAAAAAAAACCGTAATAATAAGAATCGAACCTACAACTTCAACAGCACAATACTAAAGTATTTACTACTAAGCTATAAAACCGTTAATAAAAATAATTATTTCTTTTATTCATCTACTCCCTTCCCCTCTCTTCTTTCCAAAATTTTCAATACCGTTATTTACAATGCGTACACGACACGAAAATTTTCAAAGACGCGAACTTGGAATGAGTCACGTGTAACAATCACGTATAATATACTACTAGAAAGGGAAAAGAACGGTTTTTTGAATCTTAATTATTTTAAGCAATATATATACGACACGAACCTCACACGCCACAGCGCGCGCCACGGTACGCGCCACGTTGAATCACGCGCGCGTAGGTCGCGTATGGGTCTCGCCCGCGCTTGCGCGGGCGGGCCTAGGTGGGCCCAGGAGGTACGTCCCTTTTATATAGCCCTAATAATCGATACCTAAAATGCCGCATGCGCGGGTGGGTGGGGAGTTGACGGAAGGTTAAACGGCAGGACGGCACAACGGAATGGGCAAGTTGGAGGAGTCCGGGGGAGTTGGGGAATTGGGGAAAGCTTGGAGAAATCGGGGTTTTTGGGGTTTGGGATTCAGGGTTCGCGTGGAATTGGCTTCTGATCGACAGGAGATTCGGAGATTGCAAAAGGCGGGTGAATTGAATGAATGAGCGGGATCGTTGAATGGTCAATGCTTTCTTCGACTGGTGATGGCGCTGGTGCTGACTGATGGTGCCGAACGATGATGCGGGCAAAAGGGGGAGGAAGGGTTGGAGTAAACAATTGACACCCTGTTCGTAGTTCGGGGCCTTGGCGTCTGTTAATGGTACCGCTTCCCCTCCGGTTTGTCCCATCTCCAAGTGACATTGACGATGCTCAGTCTGTTCCTTGCCATCTAAATTTCCATCCCACATCCCGTTGTCTCGGGAAAAGTGGGAACAACTGACGGCCGTGGGATTTAGCCGGAGAATAACGGGTTGAATGTTGACTGACGGCAGCGAGGTTGAGGAGAGACAGTCGGAATCCGAAGTCATCCATCGCCAAGACGAAGTCGTTCCGGCGAACGGCGACGAGAGCGACAACTCGCTGGCAGTTCACATCGCCAAACAGGTTACCGTATGACGCTTCAGCATCATGCCAATATTGCCAACGTCGCATACAAATGCCGAAACTGCGGCTATTGAAAATGCAACCACCGTTCGATTTCGATCGACTGACCATCCATCCTAGCTCCGACCGCCAACTTCCGTGCCAAGTCCAACGCTGATAAACCGTTGGTGTGATGTTGGCGTCGTTACATGTTTGTAGCTGTCACAGCCGCAGCCTAGCCTATGGCCGGGTGGCCGGGGAATTCCCCTTTACCCTACCTTATCGGAATGGTATAAGTCGGCCCGAGCTTGGTTACATTAGTGTGTTTATCTAGCTCCTTTGTCTCGGAGCCTCAAACATGCTCATCTCACACGACGTCTCACGACACGGACATAAGGATCAACGGGTGGAGTAGTAAGCAGCCCGGGGGGAGAAAGAAGGTTGGGAAGAAGAAACAAATGTTAACGTTTGCACTAGTAACGTAGTTTGTGGTAGTGTTGCGCCGCCGTCGCGGAGTACGGACTATCACGGAACACTCTCGGTGATATGCACAGCTGACCAATCATGGCGCCTCAAAGCTCTGAACTAATCGGATTCCGAGGTAACTCCCCTGCCAAGGGCACTCTGGTGTCTCTTGGACCTGATGATCTTGATGAACAATCGATGGAACGAGACAGGATGCCGTCGTCGTCGCCGCATGGCCGAGTCTAACGAACATGCATGATCCGACGAAGTACCTGTCAGGTACCTTCGCCGTCCAGGGAAGGGTGCCATGCCGGGACCCAGGGAGGTGGACACTTATGCGGGCACTTGGTCCGATCATCGGCCGTGCGTATCTGGGGTTGCCTTTCCTAGCCTAAAGCTCTCCAAGGTTGGCTGCGAGCGTCGATGAGCTTGGGAACCAATGATGAAGGGATAATGAAGTATATGGGGTCGACACGGGAAACTATATCGGTGGAGAAGTCTGAATGTTGATGTTGAGCCTGCTTTGGATAATGGAGAATGGAGGGACCCGACTGACTTGCCGCCGGGAGGAAGGCTTGGAACAGGTAGTTGTTCCCTTCAGATGCCCCAGCTCGAGAGTCATGAACAACTTGGCGGAAACGTGAATGGGGATCGTGATGGAAACGAAACAGGCACGCATCCAAACGACAGGAGTTGAGCTAGAAGATAACGTCTTTGATATTGAATTCCTTCTTGTGTTCTATATCGTAGTGCATATGTTAGCAAGTTTGATAGAGTAGAGACCGTTGTAGCAACGCGGCGGTAATCCTTGAGATACTCCCATCACTTCTTGTTCCTCTTGAAGTGTGCTGCAATATGCCGCATTTTGTGGCGGATCCTCTCCCTCGGTGAAGTGGGCTCGACAACCGGACCGCCTCCAGCAGAGGAGTCGCCCTTGATAACCCGACCACCCTCAGCAGATGGGCCTCCCTCGACAATGGAATCTCCCCCAGCAGAGGGACTTCCCTCAAAAATGGGGCTTCCTTCAATGGCAGGACCCTCCTCACTCGAGGGGCCCTCCTCAATAACGGGGCCTCGCTCAGCGAAGGGACTTCCCTTCAACGACGGTGTGTCCACTGATTCAGCCAGACCCAGCTCCATGAAAAAGGCATCGGTAGTTGGTTTGCGACCCAGGAACTGCTCAAGAATGAGCATTTCATCTTGCAAGGCGCCCTTTTCGAGAACCATGCGTCTGTATCGGTGACCTTAAGACTTATCCATCGGATCTCCAGCAAAGGCAGAGTAGAACATGTCGTAGGAGTAGGTGTCGGACCATTGATAACTAACTGTAAAGTCATGCGTCGTACTCAGAAAATAGATGCTGGAGGTTGCCATGCCCATGCGTCCTACCACCACAGTTGTCAGACACATACGAAGATACGAACGATGAAATGACAGACAAAAGAGACCTTACATCGGTTCACCAATAGCTTCGGGTCCCTTCATCCCTGTTAGCTCGTTCCTCAACTCGTTGTATCGCCTGGTAAAGTCCATGTTTTCCAGGTCGGTGCGTGATTTGGGCGAATGAACCTCCATGTCGAAAATCGCGGATGACAACTGCCGCTGGTTGCTCAACGCCTGAAGGAAATGCCTGCTTGCCGCAATCCGCTCGGCCATGTCGTCAGACATCTGCTCGCCAGTTCGATAGTGTTTGCTGATGCGCTTAATGTACTCGGCTCTCCAGGTCCAATGTTCAAGCATCTGGCTAGGGGCTTCGACAAAGTCTCGCTTGCCTGCTGTCCCGTGATGACGAGAGAGATGAGTGCGTGAAACCAGACCGTGTATCCCGTGTCCCAATTCATGAAATAGGTCAACAACATGTTCGTGGTCGAGGAGTGACGGTTTGTCCTTGGTTGGCGCCGGGAAGTTGCAAACAAGAGCCGTCGATGGGTAAAACCTTGTACCGTCCGCTTTCTCGTGCCCGAGTTCCAAAGGAAAGTTCGCTATATGTCTGTATTTTCCCTCGCGTGGATGAGCGTCAATGTAGAGGTATCCTAAGAAGTCATTGCCTTCGGACTCGTCATTCCAGACACTAAACATGATAGTGTCCGGGTGATACATGACATCTTCGGCAACGCCAGTAGGAGAGATACGCTCGAGATCCTCTGCGGCCAACCTAACGAAAACGATGCCAAAGAGCTCCCCAAAAAGGCGGAGCATGCTTGTGATTGCGGAATCGATCGGAAAGTATTCGGCGACCTTTTTGTTGTCGAGGTCATGTTCTTGCTTGGAGATTTTGGAGGCGTAGAAAGCCCAATCCCAGCAATAGAAACTGCCATCAAATGGCAAGTCTCGAGCCTCGCAGTCCTTCTTCTTGGCCTCCAGTAGCTGGTTGAATTCTTTAGCGGCAAGGGGTGCAAGGCGGGTTCGTAAGTCATCCAACAGGTTGTTGACAGCCCTAGGTGTCTTCGCCATTCGGCTTTCAATCCTCAATGTGGCATGATCTGGGTAGCCCAATAGGCGGGCGGCCTCGTCTCGGAGAAGCATGGCTTCTTTGAAGAGCGGGACGTTCTCCGGGCACTAACGGGACATTGTCAGTAGGCTTTTGTAACCATCAGCAACCACTTACGGTGTATAGTGTACTTTGTTCTCCATGGCAATCCACATGCGCTTTCGAGCCTCCGGGTTCTTGACGTCTCTAAGAAAGATGTCGTAATGACTGGGATCGAAGGTGACCTTGAGCCTGCCTTCATTCTCGCCCGTTCCCTTTGCCAACTGGTCAATAACATCACTGTCTATGCCATCCAACTCTGCAGGGGTAAACCAGTTGCAGCCATTATCAGTAGCGTGGTGGTTCTTGAACTCGCTCTTGATTGTCTCCAGGCGCTTTTGAATTTGTTTGAAGCGGTCACGCTGAGGTTTGGACGGTAGACCCAACCCTAACCTGATAGCCTCTTTCCACTCTTCTTCCAGAGCGATAGCACTCTCAGCGTCCTCAAAACCTGCATTCTTTGCAATGTCCTCGGTGATGTACCGACCGGGATCCTGTTTCCTGCCTGCCGCGAGACCAGATTTGTGATACAGGGCATCTCTCGCACGGAAGACGTCCTCGCGCATATTCATGTCCGTCCAGAAGTCACCGTACCATTTTGCCATTTTGCGAGTGGTGTCCCGCAAATCGCTGTTCTCCGAAATGTGCTGGTAGAAACGCAGGTTGTGTGAGTACTTTTCATTCTCAAACTCGAGTTGGGGACGCATGACGTTCTCAAATGTGACAGTCTGAGGGTCATTCAGGTTGACATTGGCTACGATCGCATCTAGCGCAGCACGATGTTTGTCGGCCCATGCTTCGAAGGCGGCGGTAACGCTTTCTGGCGTATGATTTCGAAGCCCTGGTGGCTGTGGTGGATTGTCGTACATTCCGGTCATGGCGTTCGTAAGCGTGTAAGACTGTGATAAAAAAGGTCGAATGAACGAGGTTTCCGTGGTAGTCAACTTTGCGAGTAAGGGGCGGTGACGACAGCTAAATGCGTTCCTCCTTTTCCTTCTCAAGTGCTGCTGATCGTGAGCAAAAAAGGGCTGATAACTTGGCGAGATGTCGTGTTTATATATCGAATGCGGTAAATCCGAGCAAGTCCCATCGATCCTCCCTCCACCCCCTAACGTGAATCACCCGTCCGAAGCCATTGTTGGAACATGTCCCATCAGTCCGGATAGTACCCGTCTTCGTTATGGTTATCTGTCGTTTGCGTAAGTTTCGAAAAGCGTTCAGTGGCCATTATCGATTCCGATGTTGCTAGGGGCAAACGAATGTCGTCCGCGGCTCGTATGTTTGAGTGTCATCCTTCGTCGAGGTCGTCGAGGTCGTCATGATTGTTGGTAGATGTCGGTTTGGTGGTCAAACAGCTAAGAGGCGGTAACATAGTAGTTGTCGGAATTTTGGTCAGATTTTTTCTCACCAAAGTGCGAGATGGGTCAATGAAATGCACAGCTTTGCAAATACGAAATTAAAATGGTGTCATAGAAAAAGGTTCCTTCCCGTCTTCACTGCCGATGGAAAAGAAGGCACGATCCATGGCCGTCAACGGAGGCCAGGGGCTCCATAATTGACAAGACCGATGCAAGCCGCTGGGGAAAGGTCCACTTCCCGTAGGGCGTTCGGCTTCCGTGACCGGACATTGTAACTTACATACAGCCTACTACAGGAACATTACATACATAATCAAGATGATGTAGTATTGGAGTACCGGTTGCCCGCTCTGGTCAACCATGATTGATATCTCCGAAGGTACCGATCAGTATCATGTCTTGCTTCCTGACCGTACCCAGACTGGGGGCCGGGAGATGGGACATCGGAATCCCCACATCCCTTTTACCCCAGATTCGAAGGAAGACGGAAACGTGTTTGACCTTGTTTCCAGGGACTAGACAAACTCTAGGGCCTCGCCTTCTCACACTAATCCTTCGTGATGTTTCATATCTTGCCTTATCCAGACCAAACTGACAAGGTCGAGCCCTTCTTCGAGTAGAGCGGAAACGGGTTCATGACGGAGATTGTACTGCTGAGCCCTGGGCAAACAACGTGAACTTGTAAACACACCTCCGTCACACAAGAGAAGGGGATGAGAGAGAGATCAGGCGTAAATCCCAATCTGGCGCAGTTGCTTAAGACACACGTCCGGAAAGTCTTTCAGTTCCCGGTAAATGATATGTCCAAATTCATATCTTATCAAGACTCCGACGCCTGCCTGGATTATTGTAACACATGCAATTTCCCTGTAATAGATGGTATTGTGACGCCGTCTCCTCGGGCGTATGTGTCCCGTGATTCCTCCTAAACCGTACCCAGCGATGTTTGACCTCCAAACCTTGTTTCCCTCGTCATGATTCCGAACCGCATCTTATCGATTTCTTCTCGATTTCTTCTCTAGTTGGCAAGGATAGTCCGGACGAGCTCTGTTTGCGTCACACATATATCGTTAGCCTCGAGACACTCCTGGATTTCGCCCAAGGGACAAGCAAACAGCAGGCGCTGACATACCGGTATAGTTCACCTGGCCAGAGCTGGTATCAACGGCCTTGAGGAGCTCGTCTACCTCCTCATCCGTCATCTTCTCGCCGAGGTTTGTCAAGATATACTTGAGCTGACCGACGCCGATGAAACCCGTCATGTCCTTATCAAACACCTGGAAACCGCGGCAGTACTCTTCGGGTTCGCCGGGATCACGGAAGCCACCTGGCCGGTTGAGGACGCGCTGGAAGGTCTCGAAGTCGACTGTCGGATAGGAGGGGGCATCTGTTAGCTACTATTCCCAGACACGATATCGGTTTGCGCTCGGGTATCACTCACAGTCACCACCAACGTTCTTCTCGAGCTCGCGGATCTCGGCGAGCGTGGGGTTCTGGCCGCAAGCGCGGAGCAGATCGCCCAAGCTGTCGAGGGCGACACGGCCGTTACCGCGCTTGTCGAACAGCGAGAACGCCTCCTTGTAGTTGGTAGAAGCCTGACCGTCGAACTGGTTAGATGCCATTGTTCCTATGGTGCGCTGTCGCAAACAAATCTCCTTTCAAAGATCCGGGTATGTAATGAATCGCGGTAGGTTGAGCGGAACCAAAAGCGCTGGCTTGTGATCGTGCTAGAGTCGGCAATCGAGAGGACAAGGACGATGATTGCGAGAACAAGGCGCAAGAAGCCAAGCGACAAGGGAGCAACGACGCGATCGAAAGTTGGCAAAAGATGGTGTTTGGACTGCGATCGATGGATGCCGAAGCAGGACCTTGCAGCTCAGCGCTCAAGCCAGGCACATTTTAGTGCTCCGACTCACCATGGCAGAGCGCTGCGGCTTCCAAGGTTGTGGCACCTTGTGCCTTTGTTGTCGTGGGCAACCGCGGGGTTCCTGGCTCTTGCTTTCGCATGCTTTCCATGCGTCGGGGTTGGGATGGAGGGATGGAGAGGGGCGCGCGCGTGCCAGTGCAGTGCCCGCGGCGAATAAACAGGGACAGGTCCACTTACCATTGTGTCTCGGGGGAAATATCGATTGAATGCGCAAAGGAGAATGCAAGGGCTAGTCGGTGCAAAAACGCTGGCTGATGGATTCGATGCAAAAGATGATGCTATTCAGAAGAACGGTCAAGAAGCGTCCAAGGCTAGATGCAAAAGGAGTGGGCGATTTATTTTCCAGGCTCGCCAGGCTGTTCCCCCTCGCCTGTTTGGGCTCTCCTTCCCGCCGCGAAATGAGCTGTGGACAGGGAGTTGCGCTGGGTGGTGCTGACTGGTCTGTGCCATTATGCGCTCGCACCCCGGTCGCGGTGGCAGGGCAACCACTGACAACTCGCGATACAGCAGCATGCTAGCTCAATCGAGACATCAACACCTTGGTCAAGCAGGGGGCCGGTGACACTGCCCAGATAGCAAGTTCAACGTCAGCCACCACTGTATCGTCTTCTCCTGATAGCCCTACCAACCCCGCCTTTTTGAGAGGCAGCCTTGTGATGATCAAGCAGGTTTCTGCTTCATTCTTGGTTTCATACCTATAGAGAGGAGAGGAGGACTAACAACCGCAGAGAAACGGATATCGGGATAGTATACACGACGACGGATTTGCCGCGACTTCAACTCACCATACCTAATCATCGTCTCTTCGCCATCAATAAAACGGTCCCCCAGATAGCCTCAACCTCGATTTCTGCCCATCGATCCCCCGCCGCTTTCCATTCCGGCACCGCAGCAACAACCTCGTCAAACATCAAGTCGACAATGTCGCCCTCTCCGCCGTCCGCCCTACTCTTCATGTCAGGATGGGCGCTTCTCCAACCACTGAACGCGCTAAATGTGCGACAATAGCCCTCCAACTCGCCCAACTTGAGCCTCCGACGCAACCAAGTCGCCTCTTCCGGCGCATCGCTAATGTCGCCCGTCACACGATTGGGATCCCAAGCAATACGGACCACATGTTCCCACTCCGTCTCGGGAGGGACCACCTCCTGTAGTGAATCCCGCAATATGTTCCGGCCGGGTTGCTCCCAAAAATGCATCATGCTCTCCACGCCCGGCAACGGCTCCGTCTCGCCGTAGATGAACTTGTCGAAGATGGGTGTCGTTTCCGGCCGCCCAATAATGATGTGGTCCTTGTAGCCCCAGAAAGCCAAGGTTCCGCCGCGCTTCACGACCCGTGCAAGCGCCGGCCAGACCTTGGAGTAATCGAACCAATGCGCTGCTTGGCCAGCAACCACACAGTCGACGGCATTGTCGGCGAGGAAAGAAAGGTCCTCGGCTCCGCCTTGCTTAACCGTAATCTTGGAGTTGTCGCCGCTCAGCTTGCGAGCCTGCTCAACCATGCCGGCCGAAGGATCAAGTGCGATGACACGGCTGAAATAGGGAGCGAGTGCGCGCGCCACCAAGCCATGTCCGCAGCCAAGGTCCAGCAATGTTCCAGCTGCCGGCGAAGACGACGGTGGTGATGGAAAGGAAGGGGCTTCTGTGCCATGAAATCTCAACACCCGGTCGTAAAGAACCGAGGGATATGAGGGCCGAAAGGCAGCATAACCACCAGAGGAGTAGGTCGAGCGGCTATCGTGGGAGTGTGTCAATGATTACAGTAAGCAATGCGTCAATACTGTCAGTAGGCGAGTAAAGAAAAGGTGGAGACTTGCCCGAAGATGGACATTTTCAAAGACCACCCTAACAATTGCACCAAATCACGAACAGTTGATCCAAATTAACTCCGGGTGGTCGCTAAACAAGTCGGTCGGAGGAAGTCTGTGCCTGGTGTTGTGATACCAATATTGTCTGGGGAAACAGGCAAACTGAATCTCCTGTCAACGGCACAGGGCTTTTTATATCCGAATAGAGAGGCGCCGAGGTGGCTCATGGATCGCGAAATAGAAATCATCCTTCGATATCACGCGGCGCCGGCATTCCAAATCATCCTTTGGCTCTCAGAAGAGGCATGATTGATCGCCCAAGTTCACGGATCCGACGATTTCCGGCGAAAGCCTCGGCTGCTTCCACATCACCTGGCCTTGATATACCGAACAGCAACTGCGATATCGGAACTCCCATTCTGAATCAAGAAATGGCATTCGATGGACAATATCACCACTGGACAAATGTCGATAATCCTATGCCTGAAAATACACAGTTACACAACCATCAGGATCAATTACTGATTAGTTATGGTGGGGGCTGAGGGCCCGAACATCACAGGTACCTCTACGGCACGCAGTGGGCACGTCATCAGGGTCCTCCGTAGATTGCGCGGGGTTGCCTGGGATATGGCTGTCTTTGGTGGTCAGCTTCCTACGGGATCTGCTCGGGGGCCCAGGGGGCGTAGACACGGGAAACAGCATCACCTCGACAGCGAGATGGACCAACTCCATCAACAACCGAATGTCGCCATGGAGACATGTCCTAGAATAGAGTAGGCAACTTGACTTTAGCTCACCTTGGTACCACTTTGATTATTTTTCAAGCACTAGTCTTGCCGGGAAACATATAAACCGACCATATGTCCCTGATATCACGCCCTTCTTTTCTGTATCTCCAGCATCAAGCTTCCTGCGTTCTCAAGTCCAGCACAAGATATCCAGCCCTTTTTCCACGGCAGCTACCACGCCTCATCACTCCAAGCTATCAACAACACCACTTCTTTACCTCAACACCAAACTTCAAAATGTCCGCTACCGACGCAACCGCCAAGACCTTCTTCTCCTCCCCCAAGTTCGCCGTAGTCGGCGCCAGCACTAACACCGAGAAGTTCGGTTACAAGGGTTCGTTTCGTCCTTTTCCCTCCTCCTTCCGTAACCCCATCCCCGGCATTTACCCATATCCTCCACCCACCACTAACCCCCTCCATCCAGTCTTCAAATGGTACGCAGACCGTGACCTCCCCGCCACGCCCATCAACCCGCAAGGCGCCGCCCTCACCGTCAACGGACAATCCTACCCCGCCATCAAGTCTCTCTCGGAGCTCGAGAACCCCAAGGAGACTTCGGTTTCTATTATTACCGGTCCCGCCATCACGCTCAAGACGCTTCAGGAGGCCAAGGAATTGGGAGTCCCTGCTGTCTGGCTGCAGCCCGGAACTTTTAATGACGAGGTGTTGGCGTATGCGAATGAGAATTTCCAGACTGTCGTTGCTGGGAAGGGAAGCTGGGGAGGCGAGGGGTGGTGTGTTTTGGTTGATGGGGAGAGGAGTTTGGGTGGTGCTAGACTCTAGGTTGAAGCAGATGTCAGGTCTGTTTGTGAAGAGATGATAGGGAGGTTGAATGGTTCTTATGAGGATATATGACGATCTCTTTTTGTTAGTTTTTGTGTCTGATTATGAGGTTTGGGCCTGGGTATACTATATATCTACAATATAACACTGGTTTGTTTGCTTGTCGAGACCTCTGGTCAACTTTCCTAGGCGTTGCCACACCCATTTCCTGTTCTTTCTGATTATGACACTCCCGATCTTGAATATTGTAACTTGGATCTTGAAAGTTGAAACAAGTTTTTCAGTTAATATCTAGACCCTTTCAGCTACCCTTACCGTTGCCACCAACCCATCGTAACGCTCCAGTATCAGATGCCTCAAGTTCCTGCATCTGTTCAACTACACAAGTTTAGCAAAGGTCTCGAATTCGTTTCGCCTCATTCCCAAGAAGCAAAAAAAAAGAATGACAGGTGGTTTCCAAAATGGAATCCCAAAAAATAGCAAAAAATTAGTGACAAGAGTGGGATTCGAACCCACGCCCTTTCGGACTGCGATACTCAGAGATCCTGAACACAGCGCCTTAGACCGCTCGGCCATCTTGCCTATGATTATTATTGTTAGTGGGTATCGGAGGTTGTAACTATAAGCCTCAACATTATGACTTGTTGATGTTTGGTGACAGTTAAGTTGGATGCGCAGCCGTCCCAAAGGGAGATAGAATGGAAGTTGTTGACCAACTTCAACTTCACACCCTCAAACACCCAAAAAGCTACCTCTACATATACTGACATCTGACTCCAGACCGTGGCTGATGGCTGCTCATGTCGGGGAGATTGAGATCGCACACGAAGACCACACATGCCATTCCAGACAAGCCTGGTCAAGAAGAGAAAAAGGAAAACAGCCAATTTCACCTTACCCGTCAACAAGCGGCGGGTAGTCTAAATTAGAACGAGAAAGGCGCATGGCAGTGGATCCTGGATATTTTGGAAAGAGCCGTCCGTCCCCGTCGACATTGATATCCGGGGAGACAAGGACGGGACCGGAACGAAGCGCAGGAACATGACCAGGGGTCCGGCGGCAATCGTTCGTCAAGCATCGGAGCGAGGCCCGGACAAGAAACGCCCGAAGTCGGGGACAAGCCTTATCTGCCATAAGAGCTATCCGAAAGATATCTTAGTCGCCTTCCACTTCCCCTCATCACTCGCTCGCTGTCCGGTTTCTTTCACTGATAACACCCAGACACCCATCACCTTTGGATCAGCTATGAAAGTCTTCATTAGCATATCAAATTGTACATCTCGCTTTGCTACCCGGCCCTTGTCAGTGTGGCTTGGAAGACCCCCGATTGACCCCCAACTTTCACTCCCTTCAGGAGGATCAAGAAACAGTTGTATAGTGTACAACTGCAACAGAATGAGCCTTTCTTCAGTTCACGTACCTTGGTTTCAACCCCCGTTGATCCGATATGTCTAGTGGACCAACCCCGCTCGAGGAAGCACACCCGCATCGCCTTATCGGTCAATTATCTGCGGCCGATTATCTGTTCCGCGTCCTATCGACATCACTGGCACAAAGGTTTAGTCATTCTTTAACGTCGCCCCCCTCGTCCCTGTCATCTTGGTGTCCGTAGCGATCCTGGAGGTCGGGACGAGGGTGGCATGTGCCATGTAGGGATGGTCAAAATTGCTGAAAATATCGGAATTCAGAAATATCGAATTTCCAAAACGAAAAGTACGGCCCGTGCACCTCACCACCAAACTGCCTTCACTTTCTCATTTTGAGGTGCTCGAGAGATATTAATGTCAGCGACCAACTAAGAATGACGAGACATATTAATGATGATACAGGACAAAAAAAGATGTGTTTGAGTTATTGAAATCGTGTACACAATTCTGACTGTATAGTTCCATTTGAGCCGTCCTAGAAGTACCATCCACTACAGAAACCATCATATACATCGCCGCCAGCGTTAAAGCAAAACCTGGGTGTTGTTGAGCATATCCGAGCACTTACACCCAAAGGGGTATCACGTATGAAAAGCTTGGCGGAAATAATCGTTTACCTTTCCGTAATTTCCCTTACTCGTCGGTTAGGTATAGAGTCCACCCTCTAGGGGTCTCGCTTACAGTTAGCCAACCGACTCTCATCGTCCCTTTGAGAGTCGGATTTTTTATATGTAACGTACAAGCTCTATAACGGTTAGAATCTTCAACAATCCGTTTCTCTACCAAAACACAAGCAAAAAAAGATGGTAAAAGATGTACACTATTCGTCTCAATTACGCGCATTCAGCAATGTATTTCTTTTATAATCAAATTATCATAATATATTATTATAATATTATAAAGCCTTTATAGCCCGTACTCATAATATAATATCCAACTCCTCCTCTTCTTCCTCTTCCCTTTGTAAATTCCCATCGTCGCTAAAATCGTTGTTTATAGTAACTATTACCTTTATACAGCTTACGGGCACCTCCAGTTTCTTGCCCGCTACTATTATAATTATTATAGTAACCTCCTCCTCGTTAAAATCTATATCGACAGCCTTCCCCTTCCCCTTTTTAAACCTCTTTCTAGGAAGGTATAGTATTAATATAAATAATCCAAACGATAGTTTAATTTGTACTATTTATATACTTATTATATAGGCGTATTGTGGTATAGCTAGGAGTTTACTAAGTATATTTATACCCTCGTTACCTAAAAAACTTTAACCGACGAAGTACTTCCTTTACGAACCTTTCTAGCCCGCTTCTTACTATATATTTTAAAAAGTACGAATTTTTTATTATAACTAAAAAGGGTAGCCTTCCCTATAGCTTTATAGAATTTATCCTCCTCGTCTTCAATACTAGCCAAAAAAGTATTAAAGTCTTATTTAAGTTAGGGAACCTTCTATAACCTTATTTCTAATATATAATATAAATAATTAAAACCCTATTATTTGATTAAGAGAGTACGCTGGGTATTATTAATAATAGCTTCGTCCTACCCCTCTATAAATTTTAATATTATATTATATTCTAAATCGTCCTTAATAATACGAATAAGGCTATAGTCATTTAAAATATTAGCCTTATTAATTAAATTAAGCTTAACTTTCTTCTTAATTTTAAATTTACGTAATAGCTACTATTTAAGGCTAAGGTTCTCTTCGAGGGCAACTTTTTAAATAAAGGTAAAGTTTATTTGCTATATCTTCTTTAATCCTTTTTCTATATTAACTACCCTTTTTACTACAACCTTAATATTAAGAACCTACTTTATATAAATTTTATCGCTAATAGAAATATACTTACGAAGGTTTTACTTATAAACTTTTACTTTAATATAGCGCTTCTAATATTCTTACCAATTACATACTAAGTTTTAAATATTAATAAACACTTTAAAGGCAATTCTAACTTCGTTATAAACCTTTCTAATAAGCGAATTATACCCATCAATATATTATTAAATCGCTAATAGTTCCAACGTACATAGTACTTTACAAAGAATTATAACCTCAAATCAGTTAAGGAACAAAGGTTCTTACCGTATCCTAACAAATTTATGCAACTTATTAAAAAGGACGTCGGGTTTAAGAGGCTAAAGACTAATTTTCTTCTATCCTTTATATATATTATTTCGAATAAAGCCCGCCTCCTTAACTTTCTTCTAATTATTTAAGAAGACCGTATAGTTAATATTAATAACCCTGCTAGTAATCTCATCTATTAAAGCTTTCTAGTAAACCTTTTTAACCGTTTAATAAACTCCTATATTAAGTGGTTAAAGTATATAATTAATATAAAAAGGGAGAATAAAAAGGATAATATCGAACGCTTTATAGTATTATAGAATATATAAATCCTCGTACGCCTTAAATCTATTTATAAAAAGAACCCGATATACTTTCAGTTTAATAACTAATATAAAACTAACGGTTATTCTATACCCTTCAAAAGGTTCTAATCTTTTAAAGGGAGGCAGGTAATTAAGTAATAGATTGAACTAATTATTAATAGTATAATTATTAAAGGAGGAGGATAATTTAAAGGAATATTTATTAAAGTACTAAATTTACTACAATATATAATAAATATTATTATATCTAATTAATATATTAGTAATAACTATATTTAAATTAACTTTGTAATTAGCCTGTGTATTCCTTTATATTTATAAATAAATTAATATAAATGTAATTAATTAAATAAAATTAAATTTAATTATTAATAACGAAGTTAGAGCTTTATTATAATCTATATTTTAAATATTAGGAATAAAGGGATACTTTTAATTGCAACCGATATAGTATCGATAGTAATTAAACTTTTCTTATTACTACAGTTAAATATAATCCTTTTCGTACGTACCCGATTCTTTATAAATAATACCTATTATTATATAATTTAGTATAGGGAGTAATAATATAAAGCAAGTCTACCCTTATACCTTTATAATTCCCTTAATTTCCCTTACTTAGAAGGGAAATTCATTTATATTCTAAACGTTCTCTTCCTTAATATTAAAGCCATTATATATAGCCTTTACCTCTTTAAATTAATTTTTAAGGGAGTTTAATTGAATTTTAATATTTATTCTTTTTACGTTTTTAAAGTTAGCCGCTTTAAATTCGAATTCTAAATACTTCTTACGCTACTCTATAAGCTACCCTCTATAGAGATTAATAGAAGGGGGTATAACTATTAAGTTCGTAATTAATTAGCTAACTTAATAAGGGAGGTATTATTTAAAGGGAAGTAATTGTAATTAGCAATTTAAATTACGATATTAAAAGCTTTATCCTTATTTATAATTAAGGTTAGAGGTCGATATACTTCTATACTAATCGGTAGAGCCTTACCCTCTCTAATAAGTATTATATACTTCTTAACGATAGCCTTACTAATATTAAATAGTACCCCTATACTTTTATACATAACCCTCCTTTTATTTCTAACTTTAATATTAACTTTAAATTGTAAGGTAGTAAATCGGGTTACAATTGCAGTCTAACTTATAATAAAATGCTAGGCAGCCTTCTTTATACAGGATATAACGTTAGGGTTAAATATAGGTATAATAAAAATATATACAAAAGATCGAATATAATGAAATGAGTAAAATGAAGTTATTTATAGTATAATGTAGTAAAGAATAGTAATATTATAGTTGAGTGCAGATTCTATACTGTTATAGAGTTTGTACGTTATATGTAAAAAATCCGACTCTCAAAGGGACGATGAGAGTCGGTTGGCTGGCTGTAAGCGGGCCCCCAAAGGGAGGCCCCACATGGCTGGCCCCCAGAGGGTGGCCAATGCGTGCACCTAACCGACGAGTACTTTTCGCATCCTTACAATTTCCGTGAAAATCCCCCCCATCACTAGACTAGTGCCATGGCATGGGTTGGTCGTATTCTCGCTCCTATCCGATCCTCAACACCGCCTGAACTACTTGGACCACAATGTCCATTTTCCAGACCTCTTCTCACAACCTGGGCAAGTCGGTATCCGGCAACTGCTTGTGCAATGTCTCGAAAGGTGACATAAAGCAATACTAGAACCGACTGAGCATGGCGCAAACTCGTGCCCCGATGAAGAATAGACAAAAGTCCAGGAGCGGTTGTCGGACGTGCAAGCTCAGACGCGTAAGTGGTCTTGTCCGCTATTCTCTTCAGCCGTTCCTGTTCATGTCGTATCAGTCTGAAGCTGGGGATGACGACCATGATCGACGCAGAGCCGAGTGTACTGACTTCGGTGGAGGTAGCTACGATGCGATGAAACAAAACCAGGATGCCGGAACTGTGCCCAGAAAGGGTTCGAATGTCCCGGCTATCAGCAGCGTCTACAATGGTCGACCAAGCACGAAGTTTCTCTCCCAGCACAGCCAAGAACTGAGCCAGAAAACTTCACACAACTTGTCACTGCCGCATCCGCATCCATTGTCCCATCCAAGGAAAAGCCAACGTCGAGTGATGTTCATAATCCCAGGCCTACTACTAAAGCACCTGCTCAGACTCCGCCTCCAAGCCATGCAGAGACACCGCCGCCCTCAGCATCGTTCTCGACACCGTCTATATCCTCTTCGCCTCTACCCTCGCCTGGGACCCCCGTTGAAGGACAGGATGGCTTATATTCTACGATGATCGTACCGTCCTCTTACGACAAACGTACCTTTGCTCAAACATTAACTCTAACCCAACCCGTCGTGGACGTTCGCTCCTTCCTGATCGAACACTGGTTCAAGTCCGTGTGCGCCTCCTGGTCCGCCTACGACTCCGCCTCCAACCCCTACCGACGACTAACATCCGTCCTCTGGAACACCTCTCCGCCCGTCTTCTACGCCCTGCAGTCCATCAGTAGCGCTTCCCTCGTAGAGAAGCTTCCCGCCGTGATGCGAGAGACAGCCCGTATGGCGCCCCGCCTCGCAACCGAGGCCATCAAAGCCGAGCTCGTCAGCTTCTTCAACGGGCACTGCACCGTCTTCCCGCGCGGCCTGCTCCTCTCTCTCTTCTGCATGAGCTCGTCCATGTGCTGGATGGAAGCCCGGCAGCTGGGGCAACAATACCTCCGCCAAGCGAGAGCAGTGCTGCAAGTGCTGAACAGCTGGACTTTGAGTCAAGAGGACCAGGAACTGCTCGACTTCTTCAACGGCTGCCTTATCTACGAAGAAATGCTCCGCAGCGTGGTGAGTGACGACGAGACCGACTTTAAGAACATGCTCAGCTGGCCGGACCCGCCCATTTCTACCATCCAAGGCACCCTGGTTGCCTCAACGCCTCACCCCTGGACCGGCGTCTCGGCGGACGTCTTCAGACTATTCGGCAAAGCCATCGCGCTGTGTCGGCGCTCGCGCAGCCGATGGCGACATAACGACGGAACGACGCTACGGGCCCTGCAAAGCGCAATGAAAGATATCAAGGAAGCCACGCGCATCGAGGAAGCGCTGCTAGCTATTGACGTACCCACCGACGACGGCGCCGACAACCACCACCACAACGCCCACACACAACTAACCTCCTCCTCCTTACCCAACAATTCCACCACCACCCCAAACATAACCAAAGACCTCCGCCTCGCCACCGAGACCTACCGCCTCTGCTCCCTCCTGCAACTCTACGAGTCCTTCCCCGACCTAGTCGCCAAGCGGATACCCGACCTCGGCCTGCACCGAGACGCGCCCATCGACCCGGCCATCATCTGGACCAAATGGGTATCGCCACTAGCCTTACACGTCACCGAGATCCTTGACCGGATACCCGCGAGCAGTCTGCGGTGTATCCAGCCGCTGCTGTGTCTTTGCGCCGGAAGCGGGCTCAGGTTCGATAGCAAGACGGCGCTGGGGCAGGGCGAGTATAGTTATTTGTTGAGTTTGGAGTCTTCATCAACATACTTGGGGTTGGGAACCATTCCGGGGTTACCTGCAGGTATTGGGTTTGGGGGGTCAGGAACATCGTCGTCGTCGTCGGCGTCGGCGTGTGAAAATGCTGCAGAGGATACGCAGGCAATTAAGATATCGCAGGCTCGATCGATTCTTATTGATCGTCTGGGTCAGTTGGAGCTGTCGCTGCCGCCTAAGCCGATCAAGGTGGCGAAGCAGTTGTTGCATGCTGTGTGGAGCGCGTATGATGAGGAGATTGATACGCCTAGGAGAACGCATTGGTTGGATGTGATGAGTCGGACGGGGCTGCATAGTTTGTTTGGGTGATGGGAATATTTTGAATATCCATTATACAACGCAGTTCATGCTTAGGTCATGAAATCCTTCGAGTTCGGAGGATGTTATGTGCTCCTCGGGTTTGTTCAAACTTAATCTCATTCTGGACTGCTCAAGTGGTTCTGTAATAATAATTTTTTTCAACGATAATACTTAATTAAGCCCTTCGGATGTAATCTCTTCACCAACTACCCCAGCCTTTATTCCAAAGAAATATTTCCCTTTGAAGTAGGAGTGTAATCAACCTCATCAGGATACTCCAAATTGCCCAAGAACTCTTCAACCTCGTTCATATCAAGGCCTTGGCTAATGTTTCTGTAATCACAAGATCAGTCAGTATTCATTGAGTCCAGCGTGACATGAAAAAAAAAAGAGGCAGAAAGCAGACAGCAGGGACTTACTTATCAACAGCCAAGACCTCAAACCCAGGAACGCAATCGATCAAAGCGATAATGATATACGACCCGCAAAACGCCCAAGTGAAACCAACAATGGCCTCAACCATCTGCACCCAAAGCTGTCGAAAATTGCCATCAAAAAACACACCACCCGCGACCTCCACACCACCATACGCCGCCACCTCCTTCTTCGCAAACAGCCCCGTCATGATGGTAGCAGCGACACCACCAATGCAGTGCGTCGCAAAGGTATCACCGTTATCGACCCACCGCCAGTGCTGCGCAAACTTGGTGAACTTGATCCTCAACGCCTGACGACACAGCAAGGCGCCAAATATGCCAAAAAAGAAGGCGGTCGGCATATCAATGAACCCAGCCGAGGGGGTGATCATGACGAGCCCGGAAATGGCGCCCATGAAGGTCGAGTCAATGGACCACTTGCCCGTCTCGTAGAAGGTCATGAGGTTCCAGGTCAGGGCGCCCGAGGCAGCGCACAGGTTGGTGACGCAGAGGGCCATGACGGACTGGAAGTTGAGAGCCAGGGTGGTGCCGGCGTCGAAGGCGAGCCAGGAGCCCCAGATGATGATCAAAGCGAGCAGCTGGAAGAAAGAGTTACCCGGTCGGTGGATGCGGATGTGAGTCGGCGTGCGGATGTCGGACTTGCGCGAGCGGAAGAGCGGGTAGGAGAGGTAGATGCTGATGGCGGTGGCGGTGGCACCGGAGCAGACGTGGACGGGGGTGCCTGGATGATTGGGGGGTCTTGGTTAGCGGTCGTTCTCTCGAGTCGAGATTTGGATGTTGCTGTCTTTGGGAGAGTCGACTTACCTCCTGCAAAGTCCAAGACGCCCAAGCCCTCTCCGAGCAAACCTCCACCCCAAACCATATGGGCCAGTGGGCAGTAGATGAATGTCGCCCATAGCTGTACATTTCAAAGTTATTAGCACATCCTTCTTTTTCCACCCTAGAAAGCCTTCCAAGTCATTAATCGAGAGATACCTACGAAGATGAACGGAATAACCGGCAACAACCTTCCCCTCTCGCAGAACCCGCCCACAGCAATTGCGCAAACCGTTGCTTCAAATACCAACTGGAACTCGCTGAACAGAATTGCTGGAATTGTCCCAACCGGCTCGGAAAGCACACCCTTGTGGAAGAAGTGCTTGAGAGAACCAAAGAACCAGCCGCCTTCGCCATAAGCTAGTGTATATCCGACGATGAACCATTGGATCGAACAAGTTACGATAGTGAGGATGGAGGGCATGGCGGCGTGGAGGGCGTTGCGCTTCCATGTGTATCCTGAGTAGGCTATACCGACCTGTTGGTCAACTAGAAATAGTGAGTATGTTGGTCGAGTTTGCTGGAGTGTGTGGGTAGAAGGGGCCTCATACAGTTGGTACAATGGACCAGCAGATGACGGTGCATATGAGGACGAAGAGAGTGTCTGTCTTGTCGCAAGCCTCCCAGGCTGCGAGGACGGGTGATACCGCCATCTCGGGCATCGTGAGGATGTGTCTCGCGAATCGGTAGGAATTCTGGGAATCAATGACAGAGGCAGAGAAGAAGTAGACAAACGGCTTGTAGGAAGAGAGACTGGACCGGAGAGCATCTAGATCATGTGTCTCGCTCTCACATTGTCCATTCTTATCGTTATGTAGATTCGATAATCCATTTACCCAGCTCCCACTTCATTGCCATTTTCGTAGAAGCTGTACGGTGACATGCTCGAGGGTGATAAGCTGGGGGAAAGTGTTACCAAATCCAGAAAAAGACAAGAGCTTCACATCCAAGACAGTGCTGATTGAACTGGCTGACTGGCGGCGCCAACCAACCAAGAGAATCCGTGCAACGCGAATTGCAGGAAAGCCTGTGAAGGAGCATTGAAGGAGGGGTTCCAGATGCCCATGTCTCGGAAAGTGATCCGTATGCAGGTCGAGGTGTCTGTCGTTGTGACGATCCGGGAGAGCATCTGGCGGACTGCACTTTTTGTCCTAGAAGGGTTTAGCTTGGGGCATGTTAAACGGGAGGGCGATCCTTTGGCGGCGGCAACGGGCCGTCCAGAGTGACAACGCTGCGGATGGTAAGGTCAAGCCAAGCCAAGGGGAAACACCGACATTTCTCGGCCTGGTGAGCTCACATGCAAAGGCTCGTTTCATCGGATTGCCGACGATAAGATTCGCACCTGAGATCTCTTCAGCGTCAAGGTGACGTGTTGTACCAGATACGAAGAGAATCAAGTCGGAGATTGACTTTGCTGACTGGTGTGGAGAGTCAGAAATTTCGAGAGCACAGGTCAAAAGTGTGGGAGACGTGGAAAATGCCGGACTCCCGCTCTGCTCTTTCCTCCGTCAATGGGAAGGCGCAGAGGACGTATGGTGGAAGTGAGGAAGGTGTGAGGCATCGCTACTTCCCACCGACCAGCAAAACGCAGACGGCGAAATGAGATGCGGAGACAGTGTTTTCGAAATGTTGAGAGTGAACACATGTGTGGCCAAGTTCTCGCCACAGCATGCTTCTATCCCATGATCTATGATGCTTTTCTGACATCTTTATCCACGCCGGCATCACTCATCCACGATCTTTAGAAGCATTCATACCCGGGGGACGAGACCGTTGACGATCGCAAGACCAGAAGATGGACCTTGAGACCAGCGCCGATTTGATCTCCTTGGAAGATTCTCTGCCCAGCAATGCGTACACAGCAACAAGCGACTGTGATCAATCCATCTCGGATGATCCAGATGCAGACGAGTATGCGCGATACCACGGCCTGACCGTTGACAGCTTGAAGTTGGATCCATGGAAGGGGTTGCTTGAGCGGGATGTCTGCATCGCGGCAACTCTCATCCAGACCGAGTTCGGAGAACTAATCGAATCTAAAAGGCCCCTTGAAGAGCTCGCTTTTCGGCCCATCCTCGGAAAAGCAGAGCAATGGTCTGTGTCAGCAGAGTCCCTTACACTCCTTCAACAAGTCTGTAAGCCTTGCACAGACCGAGAGGTAGCAGGTCATATGGAGGAACTGTGCTTCACCGAGTTGAGGAAGCTCAAGGTCGAACAGCCGGCGCTGCGGAGTGATCACCAGTCGGACTGCAGAAGACTGGAGAGACGAATCAAGGCGTTTCAAAAGGTCCCGCTACCAGACCATCATCTGCCATTGCATCCGGTCGATGTTGAGCAAGGGGAAGGCCTCGAGTTTCCTGAAAGCGCGCGGAAAGGCGACGAGGCACTTATGAAGAGTCTTTCCAAGGAGACAATCGAAGTCACCAAGGACACACTGATGTTCTTGGTCCAGAGTCTCAAGGCAGACTGGAGTGACGATGAGCAGCGTGACCTTATGGAAAGTATCTCAACATACACCGGGGTATGTAACACACCAGTAATTATCCGTTAGTTACGCGGAAGAACATGAGCTGACATGACTTAGCTGAACCGTGTAGAGCATGTAACCCCTCCGTTGAGCCCTCGAACACACCCCGAAACAGAGTATTTCGTCCCCGATGACAAAACTTGTGCGATCCCGATTCTATCCGACCCAAACTCTTCGTTGAGCGCAGAGTTAGAGGCGGTAGAAGGAAAGATCCTCTCCAAGGACAATGACTTTTGGAGTGCCATTGCCTCCCAGCAGCCCAAGTCACCGGACAGATACGATGATATCGACATATCGGGAATGATAAGAGCCGGGGAATTCTCAGTGCCCAAGTCATCTTCATCTTCCCCGGAACTGGTACCTCGTGACTTCAAGGTAGAAGTACCTCTGTTGCCAGATGATAGCCTCGTTCTTGCGGGCAACGCCCCTTCTCGCGTCCTGCTCCCTGAGGATCTGGAAAACGCCAAACACCTCATGACCGGCGACACAATCCCAGATGAAGAAGCTATATTGGATGGACAACTGATCGACTTCTTTGAAGCCACCGCAACAACCGTGATGCGCTCTGTCGAGCAGGAGCAACTTCAGCCACTCGATGCAACGACACGAGTCACTGCTCCAGTTATGGATTTCTCCATCCCTGTCCGTGAATGGGACGAACAGCTTTGGACTCCCCAGGTCATGTTTGAATGGATACGGAAAACAACCGACGTTGACTGGAAGGGCCTGAAGTGGAAAAAGGACAACATCAAGGAGCAGAGAATGGTATGGGTACCCTTAGCCCACATGGCGGAGAAGCAATTGGTATCAGAAGCAATTGAGGTCGTCCCAAGCGTTCTTGCTTTCTTCCTGGAGGAACCGTGGGAAGGGGAGATACCAACAAGTGCCGATTTCGTCAACAAAGAACCCAGACTGTTGTTCCTGCGTAGAATCGGAGATGACGAAGACGAACTCCTTGAGGAGAGACTAAGGGAACCCAGTGTCCCCCCATCAAAGGAGTTGGTTCTCTCAAGCACGAGCACCAAGACAGCCCGTCCTTGCAGTAGGTCATCCCAGGCCTGTCAGGCTCAAGAAGCTATGGATGTAAAGACCAGGCTGAATATGTCGCCGTCCCCTCTTGCAATGTTGAAATCTCAAGACCTGACAAGCCTTCTGCGTGGAAAGAAGAGACAACTTGACCTTATCCAACGACAGTCGTCACCAGTTACCGGGCCCCTGATCCAGGTCATGGAAAACGCCAACCATGACACCCCAAGTTCAACAAACGTACTGAAGGGTTTTGAAAACGAGTATACGGATTTCAGCTCACTGGTCGAAAACTTTGTCGAGATGAACATGCCAAAGAAGGCTAAGCTCAGCCACAGCCGCTTCTTCAGCCGGCCGGCGCTGCCGCAGCCAGAAGTTGCAGCCGTCCCCAACACAAAGCCCACGCAACCCGAGATCCAACCTGTGCCGGTGGCCATTCCTGCTCTTTCCCCGGATATTGTCCCTCCCAAAACCCCGCCTCGGATAATCGTGTCAGCTGCAGTATCCACTATTGTCACGAGCCATCTGGAGAAGCTGCTCCCGGATATTGACCTCATCGTACGTGACTACGAGAGGCTCAGACCAGAAAATGTGGTCCCCGGTAGCAAGCAGCCAAGCTGCGACGAAGCTGACTTCGTCTTGTCCCCAGCCACAGGGATCATGGTCACGACCATGGTGAAGCTGAGACAGAAACCACTCCCGGCAGCCCCAGGCCAACAACAACAACAGCCGACCTTCCGCAACGTGGTCGAGAACGTAGCAAAGCGCCATGAACGGCTTATCGTTTTCATCTCAGAGGGAAACAAACACAGCGAGACCATGAACCCGCTCTCCCAATCCGATGCCAAAGCCCTCGCCGAGTTCCAGTGCTTCGCAGGTGGGCTACAGGCGCAGACTGACGTGATGGTCTTTTATGTTGGCGGAGGCACCGAGACGCTGGCCAAGTGGGTGGCAGCCATGGTATGCAATTATGGAACGGAAGCTCAAGAGTGGCAGAGCATACTGCTGCCTGTGGAAACGGGCTGGGAGTTATTTCTGCGAAGAGCGGGGATGAATGTGTTTGCTGCACAAGTCGTTCTTGGGATGCTCAAGGTTCCTGATGAAGAGGTTGCGATCGGTGGTAAGGAGGGTAAGTTATACGGCTTGCCGGCCTTCCTAATGATGTCGAGAGACGAGAGGGCTGAGAAGTTTGCGGAGATATTTGGTGGGAGGAAGCTTCTGGATAGGGTGAGCGCTGTGGTCGATGACCCGTGGGGAGACGGAAACGTGATAGAGGTAGACAACGGCGGGTTGGGTCAGGATAAGGAGGTTGTTGACGTATTCAGTGATGATTTCGAATTCTCGGGCGGCTTAGGTCCAGATCACGCTATGGAGCAATTCTCTGATGGGTTTGGCCAAGATTCTTCGCCATGGGAGTGATGAGGGGGCATGGCTGACAACATGAAGGACCAGGGCACTCACATTTGCTGGTTATATTCACTTGAAAAGACACGCATAATGGACTGCCATCTGAGACCGGCTACCAAGCACGACCTGCCACAAAGCAGCTAAGTGACAGAGTTAGCTTTCTGACGAAATGAAGGCACAAGTGAACAAAGTGGTGACATACCAATGAACCGGGATATCTCCAGCGCTATGGCTTTGCAAGTTCACGTCTCGTAAGGCTCATTAACCTCCTCCTGATGGCCGCTCTCGGCCATGTTACCTGCACCGATACTCCATACCTTCAGACTCGTCTCTTCAACCATCGCCGGAGGTGGCCTGGCTCTGCCCCGTCGTTGCTGTGATGCCCTACCCTGCTCTTCCTCCGAGTCACTCTCACTGCTGGAGGTTCCAGACTCGACGTCGTCAGAATCAGAATGAGACTCCGAATCCGAACCAGAACTCGAATCATCATCATCATCATCCGGAAACTTCCACGACCCCGAACAAGTAGCCAACACCGACCCGCTCATATGCATCGCCGTCCCGCCCACCGCCGACCCCTTCGCATGCACCTCAAAATCATAACTCGGCTCAACACTCCCCTCCCTCATCCCAACCCCTTCCCAAACCACCACCTTCCCCTCCCTCGTCCCCGCCCACACCTCAAACCCACCCACTTCTTCATTCGTCCCCGGAAAAACATCACAACTCAACCGCTGATTCGTCTCTCCATCCCTTCCCTGCAAACACGCCAACAACCGATGCGTCCCCCTCAAATCATACACCAACAACCCGCTCGACTCCCGCTCATTCACCACCAGATACCGTCCACACGGACTCCAAACCGTCTGCAACACCCCCCTCCCTCCCACTCCCGCTAGGGAAGCAGCCTGCGACACATTCCAAGTAGCCACGCACGCTCCCGCCCGATGGAGATCATACAACCCCAAATTCCTCGTCCACGTTCCGGCGCTTACCACGTTCCCTCCACTGCCATAATTACCGTTGCTAAGAGGCTGCATCGCCAGCGCGGAGACTGTGCCTTTCATCCCCACCACTCTGGCTCCGTTTCCGGATTTGTGTTGAGGGCCCGTGGTTTTGATGGTTAGTAGCGGGGTGTCGGAGGGGAGTCCCAAGTCGGGTCGGGAGACGTCGAAGAGCGAAAGGCAGTTGGTGGAGCCCGCGAGGAAGTGAGTACCCGGGTAGGACCAGAGGAGGGAGGTGATGGGGAGGTAGCGCTCGGTTTCGGTGTGGATTAGACGGAAAGTGGCGAGGGGTTTTGGTTGTTGTTGATATGTTGAGAGGTCGAAGTCATCATCATCATCAGATGGATCTGATGGCGGTGGTGGCTGAGGAAAGGCGTGGTGTAAATGGATTGGGTGGTCGGTGCTGGCGGTTAGGATGCACTGTGTTGAGGGCTGTTCGAGGGCGAAGTAAGGGCAGGGAGCGATGGCTGCGGTGGGTTCGGGGAGGTAGAGTGTGCCTTGGGGGGTGAGGGTGAGGGGAGAGTCATCATCGCGAGGTGCGAGGAGGGTGGAGGGGAGGACGAAGGTGTTGATCCGGTTGGAGGAGGAGGAGGTGAAGAGGGTTGTGCCGTCTGCGGACCTGGTAGGTTTGATGGGTTGTTAGTGAGTTGTTGAGGAATATGATGGAGGGTTTGGGGGGGTGATGACTTGCCATTGGACACTTTTGAAGAATGAGTCTGTTTGACCAGATGGCAGAGAATTATTTGTGGTCTTTCTAAGTGCTGATGGAAATAGACCATCTGGCTTCGTGGACGTGGCCACGAGGTTGAGAGAGGGCTTCTCCATTATTGTTTTCCAGGTCTGGTGTAAGTTGTGATGTTGATGGCGACTACGGAGCTGTGGTGTTTCTGGCTGACTTTCTGCTTTTCAGGAAATGCAAAACTTGTCCTGGCAGGAATCTCCTGCCGCAGTCTTCAAATTTTATCTTTATCCCGCGATCTATGAATCCTTTTACTGCTGGAAACCACAAACGCGTAGCTAAAGTTGTGTGATTTTGAGTGAGTGACAACGTTGGAGTTGCAAGAGCACTGGAGCTCAATTCAAAGAAGCTTCAACTTCAGCAAACAACCGCATGTAGGGCTGATGTTAGAGATCTTGAAAGTGAAAGTATCGCAACGTCATATTCTGCAGCCGATGTACTTGAGAGCAATGAAAACTCTAACAGGCTGGTCAGCCGTCCGCTTGACCCACCCCTTTGCGGCACTAGCGCACAGACGGCGGCAGGCAACTGGAGCTTTCCCGAGTTTCAGTTGCTGCAGTGAGGACCTCTTTGACCACCTCAGGCTTGGCATGCATGGGAGCTGCTTCCGCCTGACGGGATGACGACGCGAGCGTGTTGTCCATCTCTTCTCCATCGCTCCATCACCACACCGACTTCTACCATCTGATTTAAACATAAAAGAGAGTTATCGCGACCGTTGCCTACGAGGTCAGAAAGTCATCGATTATCCTCGATTTATTTCCGAGTTTAACCCATTGTTCCATCTACCGAGCCTTCACCATGGAGTCCTTCCTGCAGGGGGACGTCTGCCAGGACCTCCGCGAGATAAGTGTCGTCAACCTAATAGTTTCCATGTAGGAAACCGCAATGTTGAACTCCTATAGGAAGAATATGTACTGACTTATGTAGTGTCCTTGTCATTGGCATGCTCATCAGCTACCTGCCACAACATGCTCGCATCATCTCAAGAGGCACATCGGAAGGGATATCGCCCTACTTCGTTCTGCTGGGGACAACATCGGCAACTTCTGCGTTTGCCAACATCCTCCTGTTGCCCAAGTCTCGCCAGGATATCGCTTGCTGCAAAGAGATTGAGACTTTCCACTGCGTAGCTGGCCTACTCGGTATCGCGCAACTGGGAGTTCAATGGTTATGCTTTACGTTTATGTTAGTATCCCCTATCGCGGCGCTATTATTTTTTTTTACTAACGTTTCCACCTTCAGTTTTGTTCTCTTTTTGGTTTTCTTCCGATACAACCCCGTCGAGGACCCAGACAACGAGGCGGCGCTTGTCGAAGAACAGCCTAGGTGGCAGACGGCTCTACTGGTGGCATCTCTCACCCTGCTGCACGGCCTGGCAGTCATTGTCGTCACGGGTATTCTGAGCACCATCGCCCACGACAAGCTCGCCATCTGGGCAAACGTGCTCGGCGTCATGGCCGCTCTTCTCGCCGCTGTCCAGTACATCCCTCAGATCTGGACCACCTACCACCTCAAGCACGTCGGCAGCCTGAGCATCCCAATGATGTGCATCCAGACCCCGGGCGGATTCGTCTTCGCAGGCAGCCTGTTTGCGCGGCTAGGTTGGGCTGGATGGAGCTCATGGGGCATTTTTGTGTTGACCGCGACGATGCAAGGCTTGCTGCTTTACATGGCCATCTACTACGAGATCCAGGCGCGCAAGGAGCTGTCTAAGACGCCGCTCGGGACCCAGACGCCTTCGCATCTGTATGCTAATGGCTTCGATGACGACACGCCTGGTCGGTTCACCTCGCATCCTGAACACTATGCGAATAGCCAGGAACAGTTGCAGGCTATTATGGACCGGCAGGATAGTGATGCTGCTGCTGAGACTACCCCATTGCTCAAGTCAGGCGGGATTGGTAACTCGGGCTCGAATTAGGATGGAACCCAGCCTTGATTTAGTCGGTGGGCGATGAAGACTTTGACGAATGCGTCGGAGCCATGATTCTGTCAGGGACCCATTCCTTGTTTCTTCACGTCGGTTTCACTCATGTGCATAAAGGCGTTGACTGCTCGGGACAGACGGATGGAGCTGTTTTGTTGGTAATTCACTTTAGCGTTCGAGCTTGATGATTGTTTGATATATGAAGATATACCCATGAATGCCCCGTGGACCTCCATTCACACTCTCACTGGTATGTAGCTTTACACATCACTGTGGCTGACCACCCCGATGTATGGTTCTCGGTATGGGGTGAGTATATGCTTCCATTCATTACAAAGAGGGCAGTGTAGCGTGATGTCTGAGTTCGACGCCTGTCCCAACAGCTACTGTATGAATCATCGGAAAGTGTCATACCGGAAATCAACATGGGAATGACTTAAAATCCCATGGGCATATAGCTGAGCCCAAACAACGGATTTTTTACTCTGAAACCTCCGCTTGCATTTTTCTTTATCGGACCAAACCTCTGGAGCTTGATCTCGATTCACCTATTAGCCCTATTGACCAGCTAAATCTTGCCCTTTCTCGGTCCAAATATCAATCTTTGGTCTTTGTCGCCATTACCGATCGATTACAGTACGTACCGCCTTGAGGTTCATGTTAGTGATTTGGACCCACTGATAAGCTTGAGCAGCCCGGACCTGCATCTCCACTTTTCGCCGTTAACGCACTGGAAAGTCTCCCGGCCCCCACGCAAGCTCCTGCCAATATTCTCGACGGTCAACCACTTTACGCGGTGCGAGGCGACACTCTCGGGTTCAAAAATATTTTATAGACCGCCGGGTGCGACCGACGGACAAACACCTACTGCGGTAGAAACATTCCTTGGCTGGCCACTGCCAACTTCGATCCCGATGGCTATCACAAAGCTCGCCGGACCTGTTGGCCACCACGACAGCGACGATGACTATGACGAGGGGTTGCACCACCCGCAGCCTCAACAACCAGCAGAGCTCATTGTGCCGCAGCCAATTCCAGTTCCCGTGAATCAGTCGACCATCTCCAATGTCTCGACTGCCGCCGTTGATATCGAAGCCTGGACCGTCGCTGCCCTCGAGTCCTTGAGGATCGCCGACAATGCGCGCAGCGCAGGCCCGACCGATCCCGCTTTGAAGCTGCGCAATGTGGTGTTTGACGATGGCGACGATACATATGCCGCAAATGTCACGCCGCCGCGCCGACCTCCTTCGCGCCGGGACAGCATGAAGAGGCGCGAGGCTGTGTTGAAGGGCAAGGAAGGTAGCAGGCAGCGACGGCGTTGGGAGAATGGTAATTACTCACCCCCCTTGTTCATCGGGCTAGTGCCAGGACTATTCAAGTCCTCTAGTTCCCACTCGTCACAATCCGCGTTGCACGCTTGGAGTTTGGGAACAAGCTAATCAAGTCAATCATTCGGTTCCCTGCCCTGCTGCGGTGGGGACCGATTTTTGAATTACTCTCTTTCCACAGACCGTCTTGTTGGAGTTCCCAACGTACAACCGCCGCTGCCTTCGGACTGGGCAGTCGGACCGACGTATCCCATCCACGATAACATGCCGTACCACCTCGCGCAGTACTGGGACAAGGGGCTGCGCGAGCGCGTCGAGGAGCGCAAGGCCGCCTTTGCCGTGCATCGCAAAAAGACCGTTACTGCCACCAGCCACCAGCCGGGTGGCCACACCACGGCTGTTTCCTTGGTGGTCTCGTCGTCTGTTGCCAAGACGCGCGCAGACGTGGGAAAGGTCCCCAAGGATTTGCGCGCAACGGCCAAGAAGACGCCTGCCGTCAAGGCCTGGCTCCGTGTGTTGGAGGAGCCGGTGAGGGAGTTTGTTGTTCAGCAGCAACGCGGACAGAATGCGGCGGCCAAGAAGGAGCAGCAGCAGCAAAAGGCTCGGGACAGTGGAAACCAGAGTGATGAGCTCGGGTCGGATGAGGAAGAAATCCTCTTTACTGGGCGGAAGACGTCTGCGGCTGCGGCTGCCGGTGGTAAACCGCCGGTCAAGAATACATCGTTGGACAAGGGCACAGAGAAGGGTATCCAACTGCTGCCCGACACGAGGATGGTGCTTGATACTCTTGGGGACGACGAAAGCGGAGCCTCCTTTAAGTATGTTCATCTGATACACAGTTTTCTGGGTGTAACTGACCAAGGATTACCAGGCGTTGGCTCACGCACTCCATCTCGGACTATTATGGGCTGGACTCCAAGTCGGTTACGGTCGGAAATCCAGCGAGGAGGGTGGTGTATATCGGTCTGAAGCAGGTCGGCAATGGTCCTAAGAGGCGGGCTGCACCTACAAGGCAGATGCTGATACCACCACCTTTGTGGGAAATGTTTTGATCGGACTACCAGTGTGCCCGAGTTTTTGGGTATGAAACCAGCGGGCACAGCGGGATCACAAGGTGAGAAGGAATTTTTGGGTTTAGACTGATCACCTCCCTAATCTCAGACACACAATCACCGTTCAAGCGGACATTCACCTTTGTTGCAACATTCCAACCATGGACTGAAGTGAAGCCGAAACAGCAGCTGGGCGGCTGTCAATCTCTGTGATACTTGTAGCCCTATTTTGGCTTTCGAACCCAGGCAATACGGTTTCGGCAAGTGACGATGTTTGAAAGCCCTTGTGGTCGATAACACTAGATAACCTGCGCCGTTGACCCCTGACGGCTGACGAGGCATGTAAACATCGTTCCAATTGTACGAACAGCGCCATAGACGAAGGCAAAGGCAAGCTGCAAGCCATCTAATTGGCCCTTGGCTAAACCTTCGCTTCGCGAACCCACTAAAGCTGACGAGCTGTAGGTACTCCGCATCGCGCCTTTCTTATTTCAACCTCTAGCGATAATCTTACTTAGTTGGCTGCGTATCTCCATTCTTCATTATAAGATATTTTCGCCTTTGCTGTTTATATGGGACATGAATGGCGTTAGACCTATTCCCCCAAAACATCGTGTCATTAGTCTCGCCGGTGTTCATGCCACTCACTCACTCACTTTGTCTGTTGTGAAACCACTCTAAACAGACGTTGTGCCTGGATAAGGGTATCACAGCAGATCAAGCATCAAAGCCATGCGCCTCCTCGACGTTGAGACTCTTCAACTTGAGCTGTTTGACGGTGGCCCGAAATGTGCCTACGCCATTCTCTCTCACACCTGGGGTCAGGAGGAAGTGTCCTTCCAGGACATGCAAGACCTAGCAAGAGCACCAGGAACGACATCAACATTCGTCGATAGTGGTTACAGTACAGCATCGTCGTCAAGAACCAGTACCGGAACGAGCGGGCATTTTGACTTTGGGAACTATGGAACGACAAAGCACCACCCCGTCACTTCAAAGAAGGGCTACTCAAAGATCCTGGGATGCTGCGCGAAAGCTCGCACCGAGGGTTATCGCTACGTCTGGATAGATACTTGCTGCATTGACAAGTCCTCCAGCGCAGAGCTATCCGAAGCCATCAACTCCATGTTCAAGTGGTATCATGATGCCGAAGTCTGTTACGCGTACCTCAACGACATCAGTATTCCAGAAGGGAGACCACAACACCACCAATCACCGTATCTGGACCATTCGATGTCAGACGCCAACGGAAAAACGATAATCATCACAGATGAGATGGAAGAGATTCTCTACGGAAGCAAGTGGTTCACGCGTGGCTGGACGCTCCAAGAACTCATAGCTCCATCAGACGTGGTCTTCTGCGATCGCTTGTGGCGGGAGATAGGAACGCGCGAGTCACTCAGCGATGACATTGCCGCTATCACGGGCATTGACGCTGGGCTGCTGCGGATGGAGAGGAAGCTGGGCGACTTCAGTGTCGCGCAGCGGATGTCGTGGGCGGCGACAAGACGGACTACTAGGATCGAGGACGAGGCGTATTGCTTGATGGGACTGTTTGATGTCAACATGCCGCTGCTGTATGGAGAAGGACAGAAGGCCTTCAAGAGGCTCCAGTTGGAGATCATGAGGCAGTGTTACGATCCTAGCATACTGGCTTGGGCTAGCTCAGACTCGTATGCGGTTATCGAAGGCGTGTTGGCCCAGTCGCCGAGTATGTTTGAGAGTTGTGGGGGGGTTACTTGGAGCACTGCCGATGGAGTTATGGGTGATCGCTACAACGGTGATGGTAGTCACCAACCCAACAACTTCTACCACGAGATCATCGGGTCATCTCTCCTGAAGATGCGCGTTCCGATATCAGACTTCAATGCCCGTCACACAGATGAACACGTGGTCTACAGATCCTACTGGGACGTCTTTGGCAGCCTCGAAGACGTCAAACTTCTTGCTCCAGTCCCATTCGAGGGTACCACTGCCGGTCTGATATACTTCCCCCGCCGCATCGACGAGTTCGAATCCGCCTATCTCCACGACAGCCGATTCCGCTCTTTCAACTACTCCTTTCTTAAGCACAAAGTCAAAGACATCATGCTCGTCCCTCTCTTTGGCTGCACAGTCCTCTCACCGACTTCCACCCCCAGCGAGCGATACACGGTGGGCATCACCTTCTGCACCGACTCAGCCGGCCACTTCAAGCGCGTCCACTTTCCTTCACGCTTCCTCGTGCCTACATCCGACCTCGAGCGCTTCTTTACACCTCCGGAGCCAATCGAACACGGACACGGCTGCGGTCACAACTACCTCACCCTCCACCTCTCCCTAACAGGCACCGAAATCCTTCTCCGCCCTCCCGTCCCAAAATGGGCACGTTGTCTAGTCCGCATCCCACCTTCGCTCATCCCTCCAACATCATCAACCACCACCCAATCCTACCCAGCTTCCACCCCCTTCTCCCCCTCCTACTTCTCCCACGGCTCCTCCAGTAGTTCCACCCTTGTCCTCTCCACCACCCCCATCCATCATAACCCCAACTTTCCCTCAACAACCACCTCCAACGGCGCCAGCCACCTCCACCTCCCCTGGTCCCTAACCCACACCATCCCCGCCCAAGCCGCCGACGGTTCCGGATGCTGGTACCTCGACCGGTGGAGCGAAGTCACGGACCGCGCCGATTTCTCGCAGCAGCCGTGTTTCAGCTTGCACAAGGCCGGGGTGCCGAGGGCGCTGGCTTTTCGGCACGGGATGGATCCGGGGTTGGGGTTTTTGTTGGTTTTTTGGGTTGTGAGATCAGTATCAGCACGAGGAGGAACTGGAGGGAAAGGGGGAGAGGATGAGCAGCAGTGGATTGAGGTTGCTGTGCTGAGGAATGATGATGGGAGGAGGAGGGGGATGGGTAGTACGGTCATGTGGGTGAAGACAGAGAGGGATTTGGTTAAGGTTTTGCAAGGGGTGAAGAATTTGGGGTTTGGAATGGGTCCAGGGGCTGGTGGTGCGAGCGCCACTGCCGCGGCGGGAAGAAGGGGGAGGAGGAAAAAAAGGGAGTGGGAGTTTGAGGTTGGGGAGGGGATGGTGTTGAGGGTGAAGATTAGGAAGAATCCGGATTATGATATTGCTGTTTTGGATTTTAGGGAGAAGGGATAGCCAGCCAGGTAAGATGATGGTGGTGGATGGTGAAATACGTTTAAGTCCAAGAGACAATCAATCCCGTACTGTGTATGTGTTACGGAAGCTTGAAAGTATATGGTAGGTAAATACCGGCACGGGCCCCAGCTTTCCATCGGCAGGACCTTTGCTGGGACCATATAAGCACCAAAGTGTAGACCTTCCACCACGGTCCAGTAGCCTATGTGGTAGTGCGCTGGGTCCAGAAAATGCGTGGTGTTTTCGTAAGGTCTATACCTTGCTCGTGTAGAGTCGACTTATCCCGAGTTCGATTCCGAGCTTGGGCGGGCTGAGCTTTTTGCTTTTTTTCCGTTTTTCTTCGTCTTTCATCTTCTACCTTGAGCATACAAGTAGTCGATTGCGTTCACACCCCTTTTCAGTTCGGACGTAAAGTCCACAGCGATTTTTGACCCGCCCAGTCAGGCCATCAACAGACGGGAGGGAGGTTTACGATCCCTTCCACGACTGGACCTTCAGTTAATGCCCAACTCAAGTTTCATTCAGAATTTTATACAAGTATATAACTGCCAACAAACAAACAAATGCATCTCAACAACCTAAAAAATAAGGACATTGAGCCGAACGCAACACGAGGGAAGTAAGCCAGTATGCTTACCTCAACCCAAATACTGCAAATGCTACCGGGCTACCGCGGATCCGAACATGCCCTAAAAGAGTCATATCCGCATCCTTAAACACCAAGAGCAGCATTAAACAAAAACGCAGCCTGCTGTCCCTTCGCCGCCGCCGCCGCGCTGGAGGCCTGCTTGCAAGCAGCCACCGTCTCCACACTAGCCTTGCAACTATCCTGCAGCATCTGGCAAACAAAGTCGCTGATGTCCTTAATGTTCAGAGCACTGCCATGGTTGAAATCCTGTCCATTAACAGCCTGGAAGCTCTCCTCCTCGCCGCGACCATCCAAGTCCTTGGCGAACTGGATCTGGGGGGTGCCACAGCTGCCAAAGTCCAATCCACCACCATGCCTGCGGCCGAGCTTCTTGCTGGCTTCGCGGCGGAACTTAGTGCTGACAGTAGTCTTGGCGGCGGCGGCCTTGCAATCGTTGGTCTGCTGCACGCACTGGGCGGTGCCGCCGCTGAGTTTACCGGAGTTGGCGGCGTTGAAGCAGGCGTTGTTCTGGATGTCGCACGAGCGGGCGAGCGCGACGGAGGCTTGCGGGAAGGTGTTGCCGTTGACGGAGAAGGGACGGGCGGCGCCGGCGGTGAAGAGCACGGCGGGCGCGGCGCCGCCGAGGGTGCCGGTGAAGGATTGGACGTTGACGGCGCCGCTAGTGCTGTTGTTACCACCAGCGTTGTTGTTACCACCAGCGTTGTTGCCAGCACCAGCGTTGTTGCCAGCACCAGTGTTGTTGCCAGCACCAGTGTTGTTATCGTCGCCGGTACCATCGTCCTCGCAGGTGTCGTCATCACCGTTGTCATCACCAGTACCATCGTCGTCGCAGGTGTCGTCATCACCGGTGTCGTCACCAGTACCATCGTCCTCGCAGGTGTCGTCGTCACCGGTATCATCACCAGTACCATCGTCCTCGCAAGTGTCATCTTCTTTAGTACACAAGAATTAGCAATCAGGACAACAAACCCATCAGACATAGTGACTGAATCGTCAACTAGGTACTCACCAACAACAGCACGTGCAGCCAGAATCTCCTCCTCAGTAACAGCGGGGGTAAGAAGGTTCACGGCGGCGTTGGTGGCGGGCAGGATGGCCTCGTGCGAGTGTCCTTGGGACACTTCGCGCTTCATGTTGGCGGCGAAGCTCTGGTAGGAGAGGTCGCGGGCGGAGGCGACGGAGGCGACGGTGGCGACGGCCAGGGCTAGGAGGGTGGCGTTGTACTTCATCTTGTCGTTTGGGTGATAGGTTTCTGTGATATGTTGGTAATGATACAGTCGTTGTTGTTGTTGTTGTTGTATATGCAGATCAATGGGCCGACCTGTCAAAGCGGAACCCGTAAAAAAAGAGTGTTGAGAATGTTAAACGAAAGCAAAAGTTCACAGAACTGCTATCTAAGGAACGAAAGAGAGACGACTAAGACAAAGTTGAAAGAACGGAGTGGTTAGCAAGGCCGTCTTCCCATCTGTGATCCATGAAGAGAGCGATCATGACTTATATATACCATCGTCGTATGATCCGACGAACCCCTGGTCGAGAGAGCATCCACCATGCGTTCCTTGATCTCCTGCCACAACACAAGCCCTGTACATACCGACCCTCCCGAAGGGCCACCTTCATCATTGCATAGTAGCATTGAATAACACCCTCATCCTGAAATGCTGCCATGGAAGCCATGAAGCCAGGGCGTCAGCTCCGCTCGAAGCCGGAGCGAGATGGCCAAAGAAGGAAATCGGTTCATTGGGTAACAACGGTGTTCGACAGGGGATCGATCCGCTGGCCGGCCGGAAAGGCCTCGACTCCATGTTGCTCCGTGTAGAAAGCCAAGCAAGCTTACATGTTTTGAGGTATAAGCGAAGAGGGGTGTGTATAAGCTGTCCCCCTCGCTGACCTCAAAAAAGCTGATCCTCACAAGGTCCAGTACCCAACTTCAAATACCGACAATACGACCAAAGAACAACCAATATGAACTAGACTCGCTTTGTTTGGATACTGAGTGAGTCTTCTTCATAGCCTGATACAGTTTTCCGAAAATTATTGCGTTGCGGTAGTCCGAGAATTGCGGTTTTGTCAGCGGAATACCTTGTGAGGATCAGGTTTCTCTGAGGCGAGCGAGCCCCCCTAGTACCGTAGTACTGGGCGGCTTTTTTCTGGGGCCCTTGTCAACAACGACATGTGTCGTGACATGTGAGATAGGGGAAATACGAGGATGTAACCTGTTCAAGATGAATGATGGAAGATTCACCGAAAAGGAGTGATGGCCGCTTGGCCACGGAATTCCTCCCCGTAGAGCCGGTGTACATAGGTGAACAGGTGATGCTGCTCGATATCCTCGGATGTTGTTCAAATTTTCCCACTTGAGATATGCTCAAAAGCCGATGAGTGAGTTGAAAGATGTGCGTGCCACCGTACTTCGAGCAAGCACCTATGTGTACCGGTGTAAATCCATGGCCGCCCCTCTCCCTTATGTTGACGACCTCGAGTTTGGTTCGGCGACGGCACGGTCCGGACATGATCGTGACAGAGAGCATTGTCGAATGTAGCTCGGTCAAAGCTCGCCAAGTGAAAAGGAAACATTCGACTTCGTGATCCGTTCATATAAGATGAGACTCCATAAGCGCTTGATTGACTGTGACCTTCACCCTGTTCACCCCCGTCCGTTTATCACCCCTCACTTCTCACTTTCGATGGCCTCGGCATGCCTCGATATCGGTGGGTGGCTGTCAATGACCTTGTCGCCATGATGTGTGTTTCGAAACGAACTCCGTGGTCCATAGGTCGTTCCACGGGTTGGCCACGAGTTGACCATGGGTGTCTTGGTGCCTTTCGGTAGTCGGATCAGATACGAACGATGGAACTTCGCTTGTTACACGATCCTAGGAAGCCCCTTTGAGCCGCAAGGGTGAGGGGTTTCAAGATTTTGGTGAAGAAGTGAGAAGCCCGCGTCAACACGCGCCCGGGAAGGGGAAGTTCAAAAGATGAGGTTGTTTTCTTTGTGGGGAAAAAGGCTAAGAGCAAGGGGGGGGCATGGGGGTACCCGACCCCTGCGATGGAACCGAAACCCACCGAAGCGTTGGCAAGGGGCTAGAAGGTTGTGGTGCACTAACTTTATTTCACCTGGTGTAGGTGCTAAACTGTTAGCGTAGACTCTTAGGTGTGATGATGTTCGGAGAATTCCTCAGACGTTAACAAAACAACCAGGGTAAGCTAACGGTTCGCGGGCCGCGTCTCCTTACTCAGCTACCATAGCAGCACGGGCGGGTATCAGACCATTTACAGAAACAGTCTGGGCTTTATTGGCCAGCCACGCCAATGACAAAAAAGCTGGCACCTTCAGTTACGCCGATGGCCCATGTAGTGCCCGAAAAGGTGCCAGCTTTTCTGTCATGAGCGTGCCAGCTTGGACAAGCTTCAAGCTGAGGTTATCAAAATCTGTAGTTCTGCTCAACCTGCTGTCCAGCAATTCGGCATATAGCCTGTCCCGCACCCGCATAAAAAACCATTGTGTATACCGATGTCGTGTCTATGACTAGATGCGTTAGCATTGGAAGTATCATGATGTGACCTACGTTTCTCCCAGAAAGCTAGTCACCACAACATATTGTCATGGGTCCATTGCCACGTCTTCTTAAACAAGAGAATTTTCTACAAAGCCGGTCTAAAGGAAGGATATGCCAAACATAGGGAAAACGAAAGGGGCTAGCACTCAGCAGCAACCTAGCTCCATGCTCAGCACCAATGTCAGGTATGTAGGAGTGCGTAGGTGAAGAACGCGGTTCTGAGTATATAGGAGTTTCCGGCTCTTGAGCGCGTATGATCGGTTGTGACACCTGATTGCTGATGTGTATGCGTATGTGTGTCTTCTGTCTATAGGAAGGTCGTACGAAACCGCGAAAGAACCATGGAAAACAGAGAATCCCGTTTTATGGACTATGACACGCTTCCATCCAAGCCCTTTGTCGCATTACCCCCGTACTAATACATTTTTCCTTGTCATCGTCTCTCAGGCAGCAAGGGAAAAAAAAGTGGAGATGGGAATATCGAGAGGATTCCCCTGGTTTGGTTATAAATATTGTCTTGTTTCGATCCGAAAGTTTTGTCTTTTTGCTCGCTTAACCAATGACAAGCTTGCCCTCCTCGGGGAACTCGTAGTTGGGGATCTCGAGGTTCAGAGGGGCAGGTCCTTTCCTGATACGGCCAGAGATATCGTAGTGAGAACCGTGGCAAGGGCAGAACCAGCCACCGTAGTCACCGGCCTCGCCGATGGGAACACAACCCAAGTGGGTGCAGACGCCTGTTTTGTTCACACACCAAATGTCAGTCTTCCCACATCGTCGTGTATCCAGGATCCGAGCATCCAAATATGCTGTCCTTCGTCTCGTTCGAAAAGAGGGACATGGAGGACGTACCAATCATGACGAGCCACTCGGGCTTCTTGACACGCTCGGAATCGGGCTGGGGGTCACGGAGGATGGAAACGTTGACCTTGTTGGCCTCCTCGATCTCGGCCTGGGTACGGTGACGGATGAAGATGGGCTTGCCACGCCACTTGATGATGACCTATAAAGTAGGGAAGAGACCGGGGTCAGCGTTACATCCTGGCTTTGTTCGTCGTCGGGAATCGGTGTGCCCAGCCCAGCACAGCCGGGTCGTCGCTAAGGCGGTTTCGTGGGGATCCTTACGTTCTTGCCCTCGGGGATGGCGTTGAGGTCAACCTCGACCTTGGCCATGGCCAACACATCAGCAGAAGCCGACATGTTCTTGAGGAACTCTGTATATCACGGACGCCTCGTCAGCTGTCTTAAGTTCTTCGGTGTTCGTGTGTATGTGGGTGGGCCGGATGGTTTCCACCCATCCATGCTCCAACATCGTTCCAACATCCAGCCATATCCGCCCCCATATCGAAGGTTGTCATGGTCGTTGCATGTCGATGATCGATGAGTCGTAATCGTAGATAGCTCGCCCCACCATAACAGAACCCCCTTGTCGAACCCCATTGACCCGAACCCATCCACCATATCCCATCTCTTGTTCCCCCCAACCTCGAGTAATGAATGTGTGAAGCTTCCTCCCATGATCCCGTCAAGTCAAGACTCACCCTGGATGGTGGACTTGGCGCCGGCGGCGGTGATGGCGCCCATGGTGCCGACCATGAAGTAGGAGAAGAGCATGTTGGTGCTGGGGGGAGCCTTGCTCATGTATTTGCCGAAGTCGGGGACCTTGGCGGCCTTGCTCTCGCCCTTGAAGGGGCTCTCGAAGGTGGAGGACGAGACACCCTGGAGGGAAGTCGAGGTGGTGAGAGCGCGAACGGCCCGGGCGGGGGAGGCAGCGGCGCGCATGGCGGCGCGGGAAACGATCGAGACGGGCGCCATAGTGTCGGGTCGGGCGGCAAGGATTACTCGCTTGGAAAGAGGACGGAGCGGAGAGAGGGGGTTTCGAGGGCGGGCGAACGAGCGAGGTTCTTCTCTTTCGGGTCGCGGAGATGGGCGGTGTTCCGGAGACGGAATTGACGGCTGCGTAATGCGGTCGAGACGACGAGGCCAAAATCACGGACTGAGGTTTTTCTGGGCCGAGCTTGGTTCCCACCTTTCCCGGCATGGAAACCGCCATAGCTACGGCTTGTGGCCTGAGGCACTAACCAACCACAGCGTCCGCCCAGCAGCTAGGGAGCTACTTAATGCGCGGGCCCTGATTGGCTGTGACTGCCCGTTCGTCCACTCTCCGGTTTCTTCCGTCGCCTGGTTCGTCCCTTAGTGGGGCATCCCGTCACCTCTGAAGTCACCGCAGCACCCGAACAGCTGTCAGTTTGCCAAGGCCGCCAAGACAGTGATGTCAATTGATAACATTTGATGCATTTCCATTCGTTCACTTTGATGATGCTATTCCCAAACCCTATTTGTACTACATGCTGGCCTGCTATGAGCACTCAATGACAAGACTTGCAATTGTCAAAAACTCCATCACCCAAAAAGATGACTTGTAAACATAATCGAAGCAAATTTCTCGATCGTTTACTCAGTGCATCCGCCGCAGCTCCTCCACCATATTCCGCATCTGCTCAACACTCGGCCCAAGACCTTCGCAGATTTCCTTCTGAGTCTTCTCATCCACATCCAAAAACCTCTCCAGCAACTCCGCGTCCAAGAACCTGACAGGTCCAGTCGTTCCATCTGCCTCGGGTCCCCTCTCCGCATTACGGAATGCCCTGTAGGAGTTGAAATCGATCTCG